TGTACTCTCCGACTGATAGTTTATGTTTATGGCCCACGTATCGGACATAAATGGATCATAACTGTCCCAAGGCATGTGTATTTGCCTTGCAGCAATTGTCTCCAAGAGGGGAAGTAACAATTTCACCCGGAACTGGGGGACAATTGAATTGGCCTGCTGCCCATTCCCATTTGGCACTTCTTGTGTGAGATTATTGAACTTGAGCACATGTCACGCTCATCAGAACAAATATTTAAATAAGCCGGCATATGGTTGCCCCGGGCCAGAAATTGAATTTGCACACTTCTCCGACATTGTAACTACAAAGCGTTTTCTCGGTAATTTTGCCAGCGGCTGTTTGGCAAAACTTTTTCTGCTTTTCAAAAGAAAAGAAAAAATCAATTTCCATTGGAAGTTTGGTTTTTCCTGACAAGTGTTCTGAGATTAAACTTAACAAAAAACTAGTAGTATACCGAAAGCTGACTTTATTTATTATTATTGCAGTTGTGGAACAACGCTCTCAATAAATTTTCTTTGCCGTTACCCATAATTAGCAAACCCCTTCAACTTTATGGGCTTTTAATTGAAATGCCAGAATAGGAGCAGCGACAAGGAGTAATACCTATAGATTCAGCTACACATTCATTAAAAAACTTTCGTTGCAAGAGCAACACGTTCCGAGTGGCAAAAGTTTTTGCAATTGTCAAAAACTATAAGAAAAGGCAAGCCAACCGCAAAAAAGAAAGCCGCACAAAAAGTTCCGGGGTCGTGGCTGTGTGAAGTACCCGTCCGGTCTCCGGTCTCCGGTCCCCAACCCGGAAACCTTGCCTTTTGCATTCATATAGAAATAAACAAACTAAGCCAAAATAGAGTAAAATCAAAAAATATAGCAAAGCAAAGCAGCTGAATTAAACTGAAACTGGTTTCTGTTTGTGTAAAACTTTGACATTTGCTGCCAAAAGAAGAAGATGAGGGGGCGGAGATTGCAAATTAAAACAATGTCTGCAGTGGAGTTCCAGAGATCCGGCAGCAATTTGCAATGTCCGCGCTGATTAAACTCTGGCAGTAGGAAATGGGTTGAGGGGAGTTGAGGAAATCTGACTCCAATGGTTCCTACAATTTACTTTTCTGGAATTCTCCGCTTCTGCCAACGCTGCCAGTAAATCTTTCATCAGTCCCGCCGCCGCTACGGGATTTCCCCCTGGCCACTGTACACCAGGCAATTTGTCCCACATCCTTGTGCTTCCAGCTTTTGTACTCGCCTCCACATACTCGTCATACTATTTATGAGTTTATTATTTTTTCGCTACTCTATTATTTAGCCTGAGTTCTACTCCCGATGCCGCACCCTTCTACGGCTGCTGAGCTAAATCCTTCTGCTGGCGCTTAAAACTTTCTTTCATTGCAAGTGCTGCAATTTTTCACAACTTTTTGAACAACATTTTTTCAACATTCCTCGGAATTCCCGGTCCCCAGGCTTCCCCCTATGCGTTTATGGCCATGTTATTTATTTAGTGGCTTTATATTTATACTCTTTGAAATGGGGACCTTGGATTTATAAGTTACCCTTTTGACTCTTTTTGGATTTTATTTTAAAAACTGTTGTTTTAGTTTACTCATTATATATTAATAATTAGTTTACTTAATGATATGTTTCTTACAACAATATTTGTAATTCTTTTTAAATATTTGCAAGTTAATATTATCAGTAAAGCAATATCTAAAAATGTAGCATAATAAGTTTTTAAAATATTTAATTAAATTAGTTAGTTAGTTAGTTTAGTTTCACCAACAACATTTTTAACTTAATTATAAAGTTTAAAATGCCTCTGCATCCAGTCAAAAACAAAAAAGCAGAGCATTTGCTGTTTTCTGTTTTTAAAACTCCGTTTAATTTGCTCCTTTTGCTGAACATTTTTGTTTTAATCTTCTTTTTCACAGTTGCTTAAATTGTTTGTAATTTTTTGTCAGTGACTGTTGTTTCTGAGTGTTTCGGTTTCATTATGACAGCAGACGACGACGACGACGACGACCATGAGGACGACGAACTGCCTTGCAGTTTTACTCTTAGTGTTGTTTTAGTCCTTTTGGTTGGCTTGGCATTTATGTTGGTCAGATAAATAGTTTTTCACCCCTTCTCAGCGGGTGGCTTTTAATTATTGCCCAGCTGCAGCCGCAAATGGAAAATTCCAAAAATTATGAGCGAAAATTGTTTCGAAATTAGTTGAAAAAGGAAAACATTGGCCAGCTCAAACATTTATTGATATGGCTATTATTTTTCCTTTGTCCTTTTTCCACATGCATTTCTAAATGACAAAAATCCCTGATGGAAATGAATTTTTAATGGTAAACTCGAACCTTTGAGATGCTGTCCTGAAAGTTAAAAGTTTTTAGTAATGTTGCAACAAATATTGTTATTTATCATTCATGCCGCATCCTGCATGCAATCGAAACATCGAAAGAGCACCAAGAACTCAAGAAAATCTCGAACTAAATTCAAGTTTGCAAGCACTCCGGGCCATTCGCCCACAAGCCCAAAAATATGCGAGTTAGGGGCGGATGGCTAAGTTTTTGCAACTTCAGAAGACGCCCAAAGACACTGGCGAGATTTGGCTCTCAAGTATTTACCACTCATATGCATAAAATGTGCAACAGACAGCAGCCAAGTGGCGGGGCACTTATTTTATTGAAACGCAGACAAAGATTTCCAGGTGAGACAGAAACAATTCTGGCACACACCTGCAAGAAACACTCGTTTCCCAAGTTGATAATTTCACACAAGTTTTCTTTTTCACTTTGCCTCGGTTGATTTGCATACCTAGGGTATAGGGTAAATGGTTTTCCAACAAAAAGGAAATTCAAATAAATACGATGAATGGCTCAAAAGGTTCCTCCCAGTGCACACGAGCATTTTCATTTGGACTGTTCAGCAATTGTCCTCCACTTTCAGTCGGGGATAGAAATTTTGCATTAATTTTGTTTTGATTCTTCCCGCCCCACTGCCGGTCTGATTTCCTAGCTGAAAAGAAAGCCCAGCACCACCAAAATGTTCATAATATTTTTCATATTTCATTGGAAAATTAAATTCCTGGCATATTCCTTTTTTTTGGTCCAGCAAGCAGGCCCTGGACCGCAACAGTAGAAGCAGCCGAGACCCAAAATCGGACCCAACTAGACAACAACATCTGCCATGGGCCTGCTGTCGGTTGTCCTCCTCCTCGGAAAACACCATTTCCATCTGGGAGCTTTCACTTTCATTTTTAGCATGACAAGCGTTTGTGTTATTGAACAATCACCGGTGAAATCTCAAAATGAAAGAAGCCCGTAAATGGAAAAGTGTGCAAAGTCTTGAAGGTTTCTAAGTAGTGAACATAATCGAATATTAGATTATAATTTGTAACTAGGTAAAACTTTCTTTTTTTTTGAAAGATATAAATGTAGATAAAGTCAATTAATGTATTAAATACTTTACAGATTTTTTAAACCATTTTACTCAAAAATTAAGGTTTCTTGGAAGTCTTAATATATTTTTGTTAATATTAAAAAAAGGTGTATGTGTGTTGATGTATCACCCCTTTAACATGGATAGTAAAAAGTACTTTATTGTAGTTTAGTTTTCAGTACTTGCCCCATTGACTTTCTATATATCACCATTACTATCAACAAACTAATAGTACTCAATCTTCGTAGCGGCGATTCATAACCTTTTGGCGACTCCTTATCACACACTCGCATAAGCCACTTATCAGTCTCTGGCTGCCGCGCTTTTGTTATCTCTGCTCTTCTTGCAATCAATCAACTACAATCGCATGAAGGGCAACTGGGAATTCGGTCCTCCGTTCCTTTTGATGGTCTGGATTGGTCTCTCTTTATGGTTTGGCTGTTGATTTTACTACTAAAATAAATACGCACCGCACAGCGGGAGAGTTTTTGGGGTGGCAGAGACAAGAGTCGGTGGAATAAATAATATAAAGTCCAAACTGATAAGCAAAATATCAGTGGGAGCAGCAGCATCAACAGCGAGACGGGGTTACAGTTGACAGTATGAAATCGAAATCAAATCAAAACAAAAGGGGAAATCAGTTGAGGCTTAGAGCGACCCGAAGATACCCTTTTAGTAAATCCGATTAATTAAGTGATTTTTTTATATATTTATTTTTGCAATCATGGAAGAACTCTTACATTCGGTAAGGGTATTCGTAGGACATATAGACCCCCTGCAAATCCTTTGAAATATGGCATGACCAAAGGCATTTATGTGGGAGACAAGCCAGCGGGAGCCCTTTTGGCCAGTCCGGTTCCGATAACATGAGCTGACAGCCATTAGAAATGGACTGCAGCGGTGTCTTTGATTGTGTTGGCATGCGTGTGATATACGCGCGACGCTTCCATTCATGTCCTGGTTTTGGTTTTTCCAACTCCACTTACTGTATTCCCACTTCCATTCATTCACCACGCATTCTGGAAAACTGAGAAGATGTTCAACGAAAAAAGACACAGCGAGCGTCAATCCTTATCTAATAGAAGGCCTGACATCATACACTCTTAAAAATAAAAATTCAGTTTGAAATTATTTCTTATAATTTTACAATTTTTAAAAGAACTTTTAATGTTATTTTTATGATAGAATATAGAAAATTTATCGTGGACAGCCGCAAAGTAGGCAATGTTTTTACCTTCCTGCCATTTTCTTGACATAAAATCAAGGAAAACTTCAAGGTAATAAAGGAATATAAAATATACAAAATGATAATATTAAAATTTAATTTTTCAGCCTTAACTTAAATGAAGACACTTTAATGTTTCTTAGTTCTTAATTATAAGTTAATGTTCCAAGCCTAACTTAACTTTATTTTCGAGTGCAATGCGGGGTTATAGGGCGTGTGTCCCAGTGTTTGTGTGGGTTGTCGATAGTCGGCTCAGCCCGAGAGCCTGCGAACGAACGAGCGGAAAACGAGCGGAGCATCAGCATCAGAATCAGAACCAGAATCCGTTGCCTCATTCGTGTTTGCCGCTTCGTGGGCAACGGACGCTTCCTCAGAACTCAACTCAAGTGGAGTGACGAGCTCGAGAACGGAAACGGAAACGAAACCGAGGCGAGGCAAAGAAAGAGCGAACAAGCCTGTTGAAGGTGTTTGGCGGCGCGTTCGAACCGGAAGTAAGGATAAATTCACCGTTTTCCCAACTTCGCTGGCACTTGTTTGCCATCCTGTTGCGCCGCCGCATTTTATTTCTTAGTTACTGCGTGTGTGTGAGTGGGTTAGGTGGGCTTTGCAAGTGTGTGTATGATTGCCTAACGTACCGGAAATAAGCTCGCAGCTCATTAATGTGTGCTGATTATTTGTGCAGAGCAATGTGCAGTGAAATGCGGCAAATTCAAATGGGGGAAAATGCGATTACGTTGCAGAACCCAAATGTAGCGGAAAATGTGGAAAAAAAATGCTGGAAAGTTTCTCAAAAAATAACCTCAAACTATGAAAATCGGTCCGCCACATGTCGCGTTGAAGGCTTTGAAATCGTTCGTTAAAATCGCATACGTGTGGATTTTAAAATCGGAATCAGTCTCGGACTCAGATAAGACTGGGTCAAAAGTTCAATACAAAAACCAGAAGGAATAGTTGTCGTCTAATCAAAGTCGGCTCTTATAAATAAAGTGTGTGAAGTGATAAGCAGCTGTCGGGGAAGAGCAGAGAAAAATCTCTCGATTCCAGACTGTCTTTCTTAGTTGTCTTGTGAAATGTTTTGCAGCGAAACTATAAGTTGACAGATTAAAAATGCCATTAAGTATATAATGTTAAATATAGTTAATACAATCATTAAAATATTAATTTAATGATTGATGTGTAAATAAGCTTCTTACTGGAGTATTTTCAATCATTCATTGTCTTTGCATTTATAAGTGAAATACAAGATTAATCTTTTTATAAACACAGACAAAAAAAGTGAGAAACGTGCGAATATTTTTAGCTGATAACTGTTAACTGATAAGAGATTCATTCTGGAAATCAGCTACAACTTCGAACGAAATGGATCCGCTTCCGCAGCTAAGTGAAATGAGATCACCTTTAATTAAATTAATTCATGAAATATAAATATATTTGGTTTTGAAACTAACATACAATAATAATAAAAAGCTTTCATTTTTCGAAATTTGTTTAACTTAAGTGCTGGTTTTAATACATTTTAAAACCTAAAAAAAGATATTTATTTATTGGTTAATATATATATTGGGCATGTTCCTTAAAAAGTACTTACCTTATCAAATTTATATACTTTTTAACGAGTTATTAAAGATTTCGTATTAGTAATGAAGACTAAAACAAAACCTTTACATCCTTGATTAAAGCGAAAACCATTTTATAAAGAAAAATTATACAAGATTACTAAAATCGTTAGCCATGTCATTGGAAGTCTTACCATGGAGGGCAGAATAATGATTATTTGTCGTATCCAATAAAGCAAAATAAAAAAAAATTAAATACAAAGAAAGAACTTTTAATTATTCTTAAAACGACGACTGTTTAGTCTAAAATTTTTATTATAAAAATAAATCATTCTCCAGTTAATGTTAGCTAATCTGATTCTGTTTCATCTATCCACAAAAACTCTTAGGGTAACATTTTTGCAGTCCTTTTCATGATTCCACCTTTTCCCCATAAATCCTTTAGTCTGCGTCAAGTGTGGAAAAGAACATTTTTACTCCTTAACACAATCCACAGGGATCTGCCCAGCCTTTGGCGCATTTATTGTTTTCCGCACAACATGTCGTACGCTCGCTGGCTGCTTTCCTGTGGAATCCCACACATGAAACACGAAGCAGTGGCAAGTGACAGATTCAGATTGTGGAGGTGAAAGGATTATGGCTTCGCCGAGGCACTCCAATGTCACCATGCCTGTCAACAGCTTCACGGGTAGCATTAACGAGGCCCCACTGTGCGGTTTTCTTTTAATTTCCTCAAGCGATCTGTCCACTTGTTGGTCGCCACTTAGCCCCAAGTCAGCCCAAAAATGTCGCTCCGACAGTTGACATCAATCTGCCAAGGTAGAAGGTGTGCAGAGGAGCAACTCCTGCATATGTCCTGGCCTTAAACATGATAAAGCACCAGGATTAATAGAGGTGAAGGAGGTAAAAAAAATAAAGCACTTGAAAATGGGAGAAACTCTGTCAAAATGAAGAGCACAAACTAGCTAGATATATGAGTGAAAATATACTTATTTAAGGCTTCATTATGACCCGCATAAATCCCATCTGGTATTATGACAGCCCTCCCCAGACTAGACGGCACCCTCGCAAAGTGGCCCAAATGGCTGAAGACCTCGAGAGCAACACGTGCATTCTGCTTTCAATTAGAGACCATATAAGAAGGCTGGCCAGGGAGACCGTTAAAAGGGAGCTTAGCCAGCTGGCTGACAAGGAAACTAGTTCCCTTTTGGGTTTCCTTCGTTTCCTCCTCGCGCCACTTGGCCATAATTTTTTTTAATTACAAAGCCATAAAAATTAAACGAACCAAAAGTGCGGCCACGACGACTGCAACTAAGAACTAAGTAGCCTAACGACAGGAGCCGCACGAGAGCAACAGGAACAACATTGCCAAACCAGGGGATAAAAAGGCAGCTGGGGCAACTGGAGAAACGGCAACGATTTAAGCCACATAAAACCAACAAACAGACAAACTGCCAGTTAAAGGAGAAACCCGCGGGAAGGGGAAGGAATCCTGTAGAGAAGCACTATTTACAGCCAACTGCCTGGCAACACCTTTAGCTTGAGAATGGGAATGAGAAACGCCTGCAGTTGACTACAAGTCACACAAATGGCATGGGGATATTTTTTTGTTCAACGTTTATACCAAATTTGCATAATAGTTCTACTTTCCGTTCACTGCAAATGTGCGGGAGAGCCAACTGGCATCAAAATCTAAGTGAGCATTTCCAAATTATGCAAATGTTTGCCAACTGAAAGTGAGCGTCACTCGTTTTCAGAGCGGCAGCATCCGTATCCACCGTACAACGGTGCGTATGCGTATTGATTTGAGCAGTTAGCTGGGGCAAAATTGAGTTATGGTATGATGCTAAGGTGTGGTTTTTACCCATAAACAAGTTTCTCCTCTTTACATATTTTTAACAGAAATTATTCCGAGGATTTTTCCGTTCAAAGGTTCTGAGAAAACTCAATTTGAATATTTCCCTTGAATATTGGTTAGAATTTCTTTCAAATATTTCTCTTAGTTTAAAAACAATAATTGAAGTTTAGTGAGGTTTTTCTTTTAGTTTGTCATTTGGGCCAATAATAAAGCTTTGTTTCTGTTCAAATATTTAACAATTTTCTATTCTTGACTTAGTTTACTTCTCCTTAATGTTCTTTTCATTAATATTCCCTCCTTTGGACATGGTATCACGTTTATTATCCCTTAACCCATCCAGACCCAAAGCAATTTGACAGGGACACATAGTTTCTGGCCTTTCAAAAGTTTTTCTCTTGAATACTCACACTAAAACCAACCCAATCCACTGCCTTTTCCTCCTTCATTTTACTCTTTTTCTCACCTGCCTTTGCAAGTTCTCAGTTTACAGCTGAAAATCACGCCTCTGGCAATTTTAATCTCGTTTATTAGCCATTTTTCAAGTGATACACATAATTTTCAATTTTCCAATTTCTCACCCAGCACACGAACAATTTCCACCTTCCTTTTTTCTGGCCATTGTTGCTCCACTTCCACTCCGTTTTTCCTCTTTCCTACCTTCCTTCAACCATTGTCTTTATCGAACATGAAAAAATGCATTGCATATTGTATGCACGTCGAATGAGGAAGCGATGAGAGGAGGAGGCTGGAGAGATGGGAAAGCACAAATACGACGCCCATTTGGAGGCCATTAGGGCCAGGATGGTATGGCCGGTCCAGTCGGCTGTGTGCAAAAACAAAGGCCAACAACAATAACAAGGAGCCTATGTCGAGCGGAGCGTGATGGCGCTAAAATGGCAACCAGGTGGCGGGAAGGTATCAAAAAACGATGGAGTTTATTGGATGGCAAACGACTATTTGATACTCAGTATTTAAATACTGTAAACGAATCTTTGGTAGCGTTAAACAATCTAAAATATTTGATAATGATTCTTTTATGTAAGCTTTAAGGTAAGGATCAGATTATGATGGGAGTAGGAAAAATTCTCATCGAACGGCTAGAACATAGACTTCAACTAAAAGATCATACCTTGGGAGTTTACTTACCTGAGGTATAAATATCCCCAGTGAAAGCCAAATAAAAGTCAGATCGCTACAGCCTCGTAGCCCTGAGCTCCCTTTATTTTTTAACCTTTTACGGCGGGAAGGGATATGGACTGCAAATGGAGGAATGTAGAGCGGGTACAAACTGCTCCATCTTTATGCAATGACTGCTTGCATCCGTTGTCATCGTTTCCTTTGTCCCATTTGTTGCTACTGCTTCCGGTGACGCTGCTGCATGCTGCACGCACTCAAAAATTTCAAAATTGAACGCAATGGTAATGGAGGAGATCTTTTTCTACTGCTCTCCCTCGGCTGGTTGACTTTTTTTCTAGCCATCTCCAATTTAGTTTGCAACTCCTCAAAGTTGATGTTTTCTTCGCTGCATGGGGAACTTTCTTTTCATACTTTGTTATTAGATTTGCATGCCGGCAGCTACGAGGATGACGACGACGACAAAGATGAGAATTTCCGCCTTACAATTCATGCGGAACATATGGATGTGAGTGCGTATGTGGCACGCGGCAACCCTTTGCTTCCTAACCCCTTTTTGGAAGGTGTTCCTCTGCTCTCCATCGCCGGAAAATTGTTGCAGCAAACGTAATTGCATTTACTTTGGAATTTATGTTAGTGCAAATTTTTCCTTTTACTTTATTCGCCTTTGTTGAGTTTGGAGTCAGGGGTTCAGAAGATCAAGACAAAATGCCAACAGAGAGAGACTCGGAACAAGGCAGGGCTCTATGATTTTCTTGAATAAAGGGTTAGAGTCACTGTTTCTTCTATTGATTGGTTATTAGTGAAAGTTGACTGGAAAATTCCAAGCTGTGATATGATCAAAACGATGAGTGGCAAATATTGGCTATTAAAGTAAGTTCGAAAGTTAATAAACAAAAACACCCTCATTATTATTATAAATTTATATAAAATGCTGAATTGCTTATTTTATTTATTTTTACTTTTGCCTACAATAAAGTTTTTACTATAATATTGATCTTATGAAAAACTTTATTGGCAAATCTAAAAATTCTTTTGCTAATATGAACTCCTAGTTAATTCAAAATATTTACAGCTCATTTCTCAATATCTTTATTAAAAGAATATTTTTAAGCCATCTACTCCAAAAAATAGTTATAAAGTTAATTTTTGTATATGTATAAAGCATATGCACAACTTTGCTTTTTCAAATCGACATTTCAGGTGTTCTTTTAACTCGCTAACAATCTGCTAAAGTTCTCCTTGTGCCCTTTCGCCTTCCCCAGAACTCACATCTCCGCACCTCTTTCTCTTCTTTCTCCAGAACTCGACTGCAACTTCACCTTCACTTGAAAATTGCATTTTTACCAAAATGTTTGCCTGGGAAATGTTCTATGAGAGGTGCCCAGGGAGTCGGGGAATAGGGGGTACTGGGAGGTGTGAGTGTGTGAGGAGGGAAATATGAAAACAAATGGCTCCTGAGTTTCTCTGGCTTTGGCCAAGTAATCGTAAGTTTTGTTTGCTTGGGAATCGCAATGGGTTTGGGGCCACCTAGTTCGGGTTGGAGTTTGAATTTATGTGCACTCTGCATTGTTATTCCTTCTCCTCCTTCTTTTTTGGGGGCTTTTGATTTTAAGGTCGTGCTGGATGCTGGATGCTGTATACAAGCTCAAAGGCTTAGCCCAAAAGTGCAGCAAAAATCATCAAAGAGCATGCCGCGAAAATCCCATTTCCATTATTATTATTCTTGCAAATCGTTGTCAAATTATATGTATGTGTATGTATCTTGGCAAACTCGATAGTTCTACTCCTATTCCGAATCCAGTTTCACGTCCTCGTTCGTCCGAGCAGCCGCGGAAGTTAAGCCGCTTATCGCTTATCAGCTTTGTCTGCTTTGCGGATAAAAACGGCAGCAGTTTTGGAGGCGTACACTGGAAGAAAATCATGCTTTACTGTATTAATAACTAAAAAAAAATAAATTTTCAAAAACCACACTGAAGATTTAGAATGTGATGTATCTTTAACGAACAGAAAAAGTTGCATATACATACCCTTATAAAGAATTAAAAAAAGTAAAAATAAAACCAAATTAAACACATACAACAATGAAATTTTAACACTCTCCTTATCTAAATTGTTCTCTGTGTAGCAGAGGAGGCGTGAAGTGACCTGCAGGGCGCGGTGCCCAGATTGAGGGTCGTGGGGTCGTCGCTGAAAGGGAGATAATAATACTGAAGTGGAATGGATGTGCAGGAGGAGCTTCTGGTTCGCTGCAGTGCATACAAACTAGTATTCTTCTTATTTTTCGTGGGGCACTGACTAGCTAATCTCAATGCATCGTGCGTGGAAAACCCTAATTGATAAGCTGCAGCGCTGCTAGACCAATTTTCGTTCATGATTCGTTTCGTTTAGGCAAATTTAAATTGAAAGCAGGGATTGAATTGAATTAAATGACTAACTTTAAGTTTAATGACCAACCTATATATCAAAATGTATTATAAGAAATGTGATAAAACCTTAAAAACGAGAAAAACAGAAAGAAGCCTGCTAAGAAAAGCAGTGATAAAACATAGAAGAAAGTGCAATTTGGCCCGATTGGCGTCAGCAGCGTGATTTGCAATCATTATTTACCAGAGCAGCCATCAGCAAACGCAATTCAATCTGTGACAGCCGCACACAAGGATTCCGACAGTTATCCTGCGGGTGAGGTGGGTGCTCGAAAGGAAGGGATGATGGTAGGGTGTCCTCGATGGAAATGAACGAATTGATGTACATGCCACGCTGGCCAAATCCAGAGCAGCAGCATAAGTTGGAGCAGGAGTCGAAGTGCAAAAAAGTGTTAAGTGCTCTCACTGTTTCTTGCAGCAATCATTGTCAGCAAGCAGCCAGAACCGCAATCAGACCGCAGGAACCGGAGAAGTATGGGCATGTGGGGCAGAGGTGTTGCCACGGATATTTTCTGGCTAGTTTCTTAGGCATTTTTTTTTAAAGCAAAAATCAAAATGTTTGTAATCATTTTACGAAAATGTTCTAAACTATGAAATATAATGTGTAAGAACACTTTCACAAACCTAAAGTTAGGTAATTTATTTTGGAAAACTGCATTGAATAAGTATAAGTTCTTAAAACTTTTATTTCGGTTTCCTACTAAAGAAGCTCAAAAATCTTTTCTTTTGCTATTTTGACCCAAAGAAACTGCTTATAAAGTTGTACACTTTGGACTTTTGATATTTTTTCTAAAGAATTATAAGTCGTTAGACTTGTTAACCGCTTGAATTCCTAACAAACTAAGATCTTATCCAAAAATTTGCTTAAAACCTAATTGCTTTCTCTATCTCCATTTGCCATCTCTGTTACCGAGGGTGCAGGATTTATATGCAGCTCTGAAGTTCAATACAGCAAAGTGCAAAGGGGCAAAACAAAAAAGATTTTACACTCTTTTTTTGTATTTTTTTTTGTTTTTGTGCTGCAGCTTTAAAATCAAATGCAAATGCAAACAACAGTTGGCATCAATCGAAGCTGTCGTGGAACGCCCCGCAGGATTTCTACTGCTGCCACCCCTCCAGTTTATTGCTGGAATTAATGATGGCAGAGGGTCTGAGACTACTCCTTGGGTCTTGGTTTTGTGTGTTTTATGTGGAATCAAGTGGAAATACAATTGATTTGCTTTGGCTTTGCATTTGGCTCCGCAGGGGGCTGTGTGGGCATAAGGCGTTTGCGTGTTATAATAATGGACGGATGACTCTGGCCGGGATATGTGAGGCTTCAAAGGAAATCGCACCCATTCCTGGCCAAAACGCACTTGAGTGAGAAATCATTTTGCGAATATTACAGAACTGTTCCTTTTGCTATTCCTGGAGTTTCTGCTGGTGTCAGCATGTCAAATGCTAGCACTCTGAAGTTAACTTAGTAGTTCCATCGTTTTGTCCAATCGATTGCAAAATTTATTTAATTAAAGGCCAAGAGTAGTCGAGGCATTGAACTGGCAGGGATGATTCTTAATGAAGTCACAGTTGAACAGGGATATCTTCGTCTTTCATGCTCACATTGCTTATCTGGATTTTTATATTCTTCTCTTGCAGGTTTCTACATGTAATCTTTCCCTTTCGGAGTAACGTTGATCGCCAAGGAGATGCCCATTATGGGCAAATTGAAGCCTCTAGCTGTCATTTGGCTGCTCCTGCTCATCGCACAGACTCAGGCACTGAGAGAAAGTAATTCAATTTAAATTTATATTTAACTTTCAACCTTATTTGCTAAACCTTAGGAAGGCTTTAGATATGTAATATATAAATAAATTACAAAAATATATCTCTTATTTCGTAGATCCCCTTAAGGACCCACACATCTGCGGACGTCCGCAATGTGATACTGAAAAATCCAAGTTTAATTACGACAGTAATAAACTATATAAATATGAATATACGGTGGCTGTGCGCACAGAGTTCGCCGGATCTGGCGACAACAGCTCCGACCTGCTGCTGAAGACCAACTTGGAGATATTTTTTCCGAAGCCCTGCGAGGGCTACTTAAGAATCGGCGATGCCAGACTGTTCGATAAATTGGACGAGGTCAGCGCCGACAGCAGTGATTCCTCTGGTGAGAAACCCAAGGAATACGACTACTATGATAGCCTGGACAACAATGAGCCCGAGACGGAGAACTATGAGAATATGCATCCCAAAAGCTCACAACTGAGCGTGGATCTTACTCAAAACCTACTGCGCTTCTCCTTCCATGACGGTTTCATCAGCGAAGTGTGTCCCCAGGAGCAAGAAACACCCTGGGTGCTCAATATCAAGAAGGGCATCCTGTCGGCTTTCCAGAACACTATGATGCGTTTTGATGTTGATTCCAACACAACGGAAACGGATGTGTCCGGTCAATGTCAGGTGCAATATGCCCTGGAGGACACCGACAGTGTTTATGTCAAGATTCGAAAGACGAAGGACATCAACACCTGCAGGCAGCGTTACGCCACCCATTCGGTGCTGCAGACTACTCCTTACACATTCCGCGATGACAAGACCATTTGGCCAATCCTTAAATCTCAGAGCTACTGCAATGTGAGTTAAATTTTGTTTATTTAGCGCTGGTTCCACTAGTACTTTTAATTCCTAGGAATTACAAAGATATAATATTCATTCTGAAGTTTAGGATCTTACTTTACGTCCGCGCTCCTCGAGTATCAAAATTTTACCCTGTAAAATGTACAGCTTAACAGAAACTTAACCTCAAGGATTTGCAGCTTAATATAGAATTATCATCAAGTGCTTACAGTTATCGATTCTTTTGCTTCGGCGTTGCCAGAGGCAGCGGGATCAGTTCACTATCTATCCCAACAATTATAATACGATTTTGTTTAACCAAATCAAATGGTACCTTTGCGGTTTCCAGCTGACCATTGATAACAATGTCTACCGCGAGATTAGTTGTCTGGAGACACATCTGCTGGTGCCTTTCTCCAACGTTAGTTCGGGTGCCCTAACTACCAGTAGCAGTAGCTTAAAGCTTAAGGGAGAGGATAATTACAGTGTTGGCGAGTTCTTAGAACAAAGTAAGTAATTTCAGAGGGATTATGAAGTAGATTATCGTATTAACTTGCTCTACTCTTCTGTAGATCCTGAGTTGGTAGACCAACGAGCCACCCTCATCTTCGATCATACTCCAGCGGTGAAGCCCTCGCACGATGAAATTAAGGCTGCTCGAGAGCTTTTGGTGCAGATGTGCGCTGTTGGCTTCCCAAATATCCAGCGAGAGTTCATCGATGTCTTCACTAACTTCCTGCAGACCTCCAAGAGCCTCGACTACAAAACTCTATCTGTGTTGCTCCAGCGGTCTGCCAGTACCTGTGAACAGGGCAAGTGAGTAAACGGATCAGAACTATAGTTTGGATAATGAATTATTGATTTATTAAATTATTTCTTAATTTCATTAGAAACCACGTCTTGGAATCCTTACCCTACATCCGTAGCACAGCCTCGTATAAAGTAATGCGGGATCAGATCGTCAACGAAAAGGTATCTAAGGATATGGCTCACAGCTGGATGACTACCATGTCGTTTATTACACGTCCCGATGAAGAGACCCTGGAAACCTTCTTCTCGATCCTCGAATACGCCAAGAACAGACTCGACCCTGAGTACACGTTGGGAGCCACTGCTGTGGTGCACAGCTTTTGCAGACACACCGAAGTCTGCGAGGAGAACCTCCGAGTGCAACAGATCATCAATCTTTTGGAAACTGAATTCCTAAGTTTGTACAACAACTTCAAGGGAGAACGTCGCACCCGCGAGCGTATGGTGATTTTGCTCAAAGGATTAGGTAACATTGGAGTGGTGTCGGATGCTTTTGCAGAACAACTACAATGGATTATTCGGGAGGACGAAATCTCGATCGATATTCGACTACAAGGTATTTTAGCTTTCCGACGGGTGGACTGTCTACGATACCGAAACTTCTTCCTGGAGAGCTATTCGAACTACACTCTGAATTCGGAGCTACGTATATACAGTTACTTGCAGGCGATGAGGTGTCCTGATTATATATCTATTGGTACCATAAAATCGGTGCTGGAACATGAGCAAATCAATCAAGTTGGATCATTCGTATGGTCGCATCTCACTAACCTGGCAAAGTCTAATTCCCCTGTACGTATTGAGGCTCAGGGTTTGCTACTAAATGATGAGCTGTCGGAACGCTTCAAAATGGATATTCGCAAGTTCTCGAGGAACTATGAGCACAGTTTGTTCTTCGACGAGTATAATTTCGGCACCACCACTGATGCGAATGTCATCTTTGGCACGGACTCCTACTTGCCTCGAATTGCCAGTCTTAACTTCACATCCGATCTCTTTGGTCAGTCAGTGAACTTCTTTGAGCTCACGGCCCGCGCTGAAGGACTGGAGGAATTGGCAGCTAATGCCTTTAGCCCCAAGGGTCCTTTGAGCGGCGAGCTGCTGCGCAAGAAGCTCTCCTTCCTCAACCGTTGGCTGGGTAACGAAAGTGCCGAGGAAGATGATACCCTTGAAAACCTTCTAAGTCTAGATAATCTGCGACTTAAGAGGAAAGCCCAGCAATCTGTTCAAGCCCATGAGGAGGTGGAGGACGAGGATTACGACTTCGAGGAGTCTTTAGAAGGAACTAAGCGTCATAAGCGGGATGTCAGTTCTGACCGCAAACAGGAGATTGAACGCAGCGTGGACAGTCTTGGTTACAAACTTAAGTACGACTACAATAATCCACGGGCACAGTTTGGACTACGGATCTTTGGCAACGATCTACGCTATTACAATGTAGAGTCTATGTTGGAGGTTATGGGCTTGGCCGCCAAATACAATCCGTTCCAGCAAGCTAAGAACGTGCTCTCCGGCAAAGAGTTCAAGCATACAAAGTCGCAAGTCTTTCTGGATGCGTCTTATACTGTGCCTCTGGCAGTCGGACTTCCATTAGCGATTCATGCCTTTGGAGCTTCTTCAGTGGATCTTCGTATCAGTGGAAACCTCGATGAGATGGATCCGCCCACCGATTGGCACTTTGATGTCCAAGGAAGGTTCAAGCCGTCGGTGTCCGTAGATGTGATCACCACAATGCAAACGGACATGTTTTGGGATCAATCGGGCATCAAGGTCAAGAGCAATCTGTACTCGAACTCGGAGTTAGTAGCCAAACTTAAGGTGCGTGGACGCAATCTGGTCTCCTTCTCCTTCGATCTTCCCCAGGATCAGAATGAGATTTTCAGTGTCCGATCTGAGCTGTTGGTAAAAAAGCGAGACGAGGAGCTCCCCCAGGCGGGTATTGCCAAACGGAGTGCGAACTCCACCTGCACGTGGCCCGTTCTCGATCAGGCTATTGGACTGCAGATGTGTTCCCACTACAGTGTCCCCGATCTGAGTAATTCCACCGAAATTTACCCAAGCCTTTTGCTAGCAGGGCCTCTGAACTTTAGCTTGATCCTTAAGAAATCCGATTTAACTGCCAAGAAGTACGTGTTTGAGTACAAGTGGGATCAGCAGGATGAAGACAACAACTTCTCGTTGGTGTTTACCACGCCAGGCTCAAAGGTTCCGCGAGTTCTGGTTGCAAATGTGACTAAGGTGCCCGATGCCTTTAATGCATCCGTGGCTTTTGCTAATGGACCTAACCGCGTATCCGCTGGATGCAGTTTTGACGGAAACCCAGATTTCCGACGCTTGGATGTTTATCTAGATACGAATGGCAATCGATCCCTAGACCTTGGCATGGAACTGCGAAGACATCAGGACTTTACTGCCTGGATATACAATCCTCGCATGCTGCTAGCCATTAATGGTGTCAACATAACCGGACTGGCAGGTACTGTGAAGGTAAACGAAAAGAACGGCATCAAGCAACACGACGTGGATCTCTCCTTTGAGACTAAGAAGTTGCAGGCTGTGATTAAAGGGCAACGTTGTACAGAGTGAGATAACCACCTCTACCAACATGACCATCAAGTACAGGGTTAGTATCTGCATTTATTTCTCAATTTAATTTTTTTTTTTAAAGATTTTCCACTTTTGATTTTAGTTCCAAGCAAATAAGATCGAGGAGATCAACTTTGCCGGAAAGCTTGTAAATAATGGCGATAAAACGAAGACTGAGTATCGGGGTAACATGAAACTCCAGACATCTGCATATCCCAAGCTAAACTTTGCATCGGATGCAACTTGGCTCAGTCTACAGGGCCACACAGAAGGCATGATCACTTACAACAATGCCCCCGATTACGTTAATCCCAATTATACGAGTCTGCTTCGCTTGGTCTTTGCTCGATCCCATTCGGAGGACACTATCTTGGAGGGCTCTCGGACAAGAGCCAGTCTTGAACTGAAGCTGCCAAGATCAAAGATTGACTACCGCATCTCAGGTTAAGTGAGTTTATATTCTTAATAGTTTTTATATTTAATATTATAATTAAATTTTTTTTTACAATATTAAAAGGCATGAAGAACGCAGCAAGAATGGAACTGAGCACAATGTGATTGTGGGACTGAAGTACGCTCCTGAGAAGGAGATCACCGGCCTGTTTTCCGTGCATTTGCCGAGGAGGAATCTGTTTGCCATTGACGCCTACATGAACGTGACTGTTCCAGAGTTCAACTCGTGTACTGGCAGCCTAAAAATAAACGAGAAGGCCACTAAGGATTACATCGTATGGATCAGATTTTTAGTCAGTTGGTCTATGTTATATTTTATCTTAAATCCTTCTAGATCTTCATCAATGGTTCCTGGTTTACTGGTCACTCAGTCGCGATCAAGGCTAACTACAAGGACCGCAGCTCCCGAGTTCAGGCCCTACACCACCTTAAGATGATTGTGGAAAGTCCGTCTTTCAATACAACCTCCCTCAAATATTGTGTATCGTCGAAATCAGTTACTGATCTTCTATGATCTTCAGGCCAAGTATGGCAAGGATCCCTATGGCGTGACAATACAATATGCAGCCAATGCCCACAATCGAAACTCCAATGCGGAGGTGAGATTCAAGGTCAAGGAACGTGATTACTGGCTCAACGCCAAATTGTTGTCAGAGCAGCCGAAGCTCCTCCAGCTAGAACTTCACATAGATAAGTAAGACTTAATTATGACTGAGAAAATGTCAAACGTTAATTTCTCTCATATACCATTAGAATCCGTGATGTCCATATTAAAGTTGGTCTGCTGAATGTGGATAGGCGTAAGGAGCTCTCACTAGAACTCAAGTGGGATGCTAATCGCGATCCCAGCCAGCGATTGGGTCTGCTTGCGGAATACAATAGACCTGGATCAAAGGAGTATGATGGAAATTTGATGATCACCTATCCGGAGCGCACTATCAACTTTGGCTTTAAGTCTTACACCGGAGGACCGAAATACTTTGGCAAGGCTCACGCCTCCTGGAGCATCACCGAGGTGATCGAATTCGATTATGATGCGGGCATTCTTCCCGGACAATCGCTCCACAACTGGGTAAATGCTGAGCTGCGGACTCCTTTTGATGGCTGGCGCACCAACAGCCTTCATGCCGAAATCTATAACCTGAACAACTTGATCCTAGTAAACTCGTCGCTCTTCTGGGCAGATGATCAGAAGCTGCAGGTGGGCTACAGGAGCGACTACGACATCAATGATCAGTTGACCAGCTATGATGTTCGCTTCGGTATCAACAGTACAATCAAGGATATACCTACGATCAATGTAAAAGGTTGTGCATTGGCAAAATGACAAGAAGGTGGACACGGAGCTATATCTGGGATACAGTGGACAGAACGATACCTTCAACACTTATAGCATAGACTCCAGTTGGGAAATTGAGAAGAATCAGCGTTACCACAATGTTTCCGGCTTAGTGCACTTGGTTAGTCCTTTCAAGGGCTACGAGAAGGGCGGTTTGGTAGCCCAATTCTCACTGGGCGATCAAAAGAAGGTCAGCGGAGCAGCTTCTCTTAACTTTGATATCCGAGAATTCACTTTGACCATGGACGGTTATGTCAAGAAGCTTACGGATAATATGCTAACTATTAACATTACTACTCCACTGGAGAAATTCCGAACTATCAACGCTCGCTTTGGGCTAAACGAGAAGAAACGTCATGCGGTGGCTGAGGTCAGATCTCCTACGGCAGCTCTCGGAGTGGAGGCTTTGGCTGACGTTAAGAATCTTCTTAAACTTCGACGTCAAGTTTAGCTTGGCCACGCCCATCGAGAGCTTCCAACAGGCGGCCATATTCGCGCTATTCAATCCCGAGCGTGTGGACATGCGCGGTTTGTGGAATAATGTAACATTGGGCTTTACGGGTGTTTGGCACATGCAAAATATAACCGACTTTGAGTACTCCTATGTCGTGTTCACCCCACTCGCTGGCTTCGAGAAGAACGGATTCATTGTCCAACTGCTGAAGAGGGATGAGTTCGTCTTCCAGTTACACGGAAAGCTTTCCAACTATAAACTGGGTGTCATGATCAATGGAAAACCAAAGTCGGACTTGGTCAATAAGCTGGGCAGCAACAAAATGGCATTGGAGATGCTGTACGATGAAGACTTTAAGCCACTGAATGTTGCAACGGATTATAAACCAGATCCAGATGAGGAGTACTTCTCATATTTCACGGACTTCGAGATCGATACTCTTGTATGGCCCACTATTGTTGGTAATGTGGACATTCAGGAAATCATTGACTTCTACCTGGTTGTGGGTCATATGGAGTTGCCACAAGGAAATGTGGAGTTCAAGGATCGCCTACACTTCCCGGACTACATTAATGTACACAATCTTTTGACCGTGTCAACACCGTTTGCTGTGGCTAAGGACATAAAGTCGATTGTAGAGTACCACATCGATCTGCATTTCAATTCATTCTATGAACGCATCAAGTTTACAGTCAACGATGCTAAGGATCAGAAGAAGGAACTGGGTTTTGAATTTAACTACACCACACTGCAGGACAATGTGAAACCCAAGGCACATGATGTCCAGCTTAAGCTAATCACACCCTACGAATTGCTCAATCAAATTGACATTCATGGACGTTTAGAAGTGGACGAAAATGCCTATAAGGGCAATATCAGCGCGCTTACAGCCCATACATATATATCTATGGCGGCCTCCGTAGAGGTAAGTACATTGTCATTTAATATGACATCTTAGGAATTGTTTAATAAATCTCTATCTATGCTTTCCAGAACGAAGATAACTTCTTGGAAACATCAGTGGGTATTCTGCTGGAAACGGACGTTATTCCTCATTATGCCTGCCTGGTGTACTTTAAGAAAGACTCCTCAGCTGTGGATAACGTCATAGATATTCGCTTCGAGGTCACCGACAATGGAACACTTAACCAGGTAATATCCAAAATCTATATAATATTTTAATAAAATATTAATCGCATTATCCAAACAGCTTCAAATTTCTACAGACTGGCATACCGATCAAGCATACATTGTCAATGCCAATGGTAAGATACGAACTACAATGCTGCCCCTCCAGTTGGCGTCCACCTCCATCCTGGTCACTCAGAGTCAAAATCCTCAGCTGAACTTTGATCTTAGCTTCCTGAGTCAAGATGGCCAGAGCATATCTTACGGAACGCGTGCTAACAAAAAGAAAGAAGTCTTCAACATTGAGGTGTGGACTCCACTGAAAAACTTCCGAAATATTTCCATGCATGGAACAGTGGTTAAGAACCCACGTGACCCTGAACGCTATGATGTTTCAGGGTTCCTGTACAGGAATATGGCTACATATGGCGTTGCAGGAGTTATTCGCATGTCCAATAGACTGCCCATTGATGCCACTTTAAGGGTACAGCCTAAGGCTGGAGGGCGAGATGGTGTAATTGAGTTGAACATCCATGAGAAGGGACCAAAGAAGATTGGCTTTTCCTTTAGTGCTATTGAGGATGGAAAAATGTGCCAGATCTCAGGAGGTTTTAGTGCCAGCGAAAGCAATGGAGCTATGGACTTCTCAATTCTTGTGGAAAGTACGGAGCCAGAAATTGCCCGCATCAACTTCAATGGTAACCTGAAGCCGAGCTCGAAGGGCTCCTATGTGGGTGACCTGAGCTTGGAAACTCCTTGGAAGAATCTTGGCATCGATTCGGTGCATCTACACTCGGATGTGGACATTGACAGTAAAGCAGGCAATATGGTTGGCGAGTATAAGATCGGTCAGTACATTGGACGCGGTAGTTGCATGTGGTCTTGGATTCTTGGCGAAAATCTACAGCTGGTGCTAGAGAGCTACATAGAGAGACCAAGCTCTAGGCCAAGAATCGTCCATGCCAGTGCCAAGTATTTCAATCCGGGACAAAACTTTACTCAGCTGCAGACGAGTGGTCGCCTGAGTGTGGACTCTAAATGGAACCTTGATGTAAATGGCAGTGCGCAATACAAATCTGTTGATGATTTCAACTTTAAGGTGATCACCGAGTTGCCCTTACCTGTTGGAGATCGCCATCAGCTGAGTGCCAACTACCAAGGAAACGTGATTAGCAAGCAGTTTATCAACCCTGACTTTGTTCTCGAGACCAGCTACCAGGGCTTGGAGGCTGAAAACAAGCTTCTATCTCGTTTTTCCTACCGAAATGTTACCAATAACCTGAAGGGCTTGGGCCACTTCGAATGGGGAAAACTAAAGAGTCTATCTGTGGTGGAGGGAGATTTCGAGTTACTAAAGAAGTCAGGAGCCCGCCGAGAGTTCTTTGCGAAGATGATCACCCCCAAAGTTCAAAGATGAGCACACATTCGCCGTTTCTGGACATTATGATAAGGAAAATACGGACTACCACAAGGTGGTGTGTGCCTTGGACTATCCTGCCAGTCGTCGCATAACCGATCTGGATGTATCTTTCAATTCGCTGAGCAACATGCATGGAGTCTTCAACAGTTCATTACCATCCTTCCTCAATGTTAGTTGGTTCAAGACTGACTTTGAGTTCACCACCAAAAAGTGAGTTTTTTTTATTTTAAAGTAAATAGACCTAATACTAAATATATTCCGTCTCACAGTGGAAAGAGCTATCGCTACTGCCGCTGCTTTTGGCCTGAGGATTCCGCCTACTTCAAGTTGAACAGCAACTACGAGAGCGACGCCAACAATGTTAACCACAACCTAAATGGCAATGTGGAGATAGAAGTTCCCTTGACCACTCGTCATCGGGCGGATATGGTTTATAGCCTGCAGAAGCGACGCAATCAGGATGCTGGAAATGTCAAGGTCGTGTACAATGAGAAGCAGGTTCTTGATGGCAAGTATAAGCGAGTAGAGCAGCAGAAACATCCGATATACAAGGAAACCACGGACATTACGCTGGAAAACGAGGTAAAACCTCTTGGAATTCATTATGTTAGCACCAGAGATTCCAGTGATCCGGCGGGTACCCAGGACGTGAAACACTTTGAGGTTTACGAGCTGAGAAACACAAAGAACTTCAACTTGACCGCAGAGCTACATTCAAGGGCCACTGTCAATGCCCAGGACTTTAAGGTGGTAGCTATTCATCCAAACCGTGCCGTGGTGCTGAGCACCAAATATGAGGACGTCAGCCCCGAAGTGGTGAGGCAGCACACCAAGTTGGAGTTATCGGAGACAGCCTGGATTGGATACAATCTAGAGTTGGGTAACTTCAGCAGGGTAAGTAGATAACTAGCCGTAATTATAATACCTACTAATTTCTTAACCATTAAGGTTGGCAACGAATCTCAGAGCTTCGCCTTGGAAATTTTCTATCCAAAACGCAATCTCTCCTCATCAGGCCAGTACTACATGACGGACAGCGACTTCAACTCTGACCTGACCTTCCAATGGTTGGGAGGAAACTACGACCAACAGCCAAAGACTATACACAGCAATCTGCAATGGAAGGCGGAACCTTTGAGACGTGGAGATCGAGAGCATCGTACTATTGCCCTGACAGTGGCACATCCTCTCCTGGAAAAGGACATTAACTGCAAGGCGACCTACTATCGTGGGCTGCGGGATTTGTTAAGGACACACGTGACCATCGACTATTCGCAATATCCTGAGCAACTAATTGAGCTGGGTGCTCTGTTGACTGATAGGTACAATGAACTGGGACATACCAACTACACCTTCCAAGTGTATGGAAAACATCAGGCTTCTGAGCTAGATGTACAGTTGAATGGCACCCTGGCGGCCAAGAACTCATACTATAAGACGGAGTCCACAGCACACTATAAACGTGATATATTCCCTGCCAGATACGGCAAGTTCCTGGCCCTGCTCGATGTCAATAAGCGGGAAGTGGAGTACGAACGTCAGTCGCCATTCCACACGGTGCGACTTCACCTTCTGCCTACTATCCAGTATCCGATTTACGGATTAAACGCCACAATTTGGGATACTCCTGACACCAACCACTCGGGTTACATATACGCAGATCTTCTAGAGCGGTATGCTCGCATGGATTTCAATTTGACCGAGGACTCTAGTCAGAATTTGCAAATGGTGGGATATATCCCGGATTCACGAAGTGCATTCCTGGATATCTGGCGAAACTACGAGGAGATCCGTGTGATCGACGTTAGTTCATATCTGAAGATGAATCATTCTCGGCTTATTACTGGTCGCTTCCACTGGCGTCCATCCATCCGGCAAGAAGTTCGCGAGAAGATCCAATCCGTGGGTAAATCAGTCTACAGCTCCTTCTCGGAGGGAATTGACTTTTGGATCAAGTCTATCTACACGGAAACCACAGAATCAATGGGTGTTGTATGGAGCACAGCCAAGGAGTACAATAGAGATTTCATTGATGACATTGGCCAGCTTAGCGTGCTAGAGGAAGACCTCGCTGATTTAAGATTGTTTGTTAATCAATCTTATGAGGCCAATGACTTCTACATTAAGAACGTGGTTAATTTCACTTTAACTATCCTGGATGAGCTTGCCATTAGGGATCACATCGAGTCTCTGCCCAAGATATTCTCAGAACTGTGGCAGGCAATGGGAGATTCCGGAAAAGCTCTCCGCAACAGCATCGTGTGGCTGATTGATACTGTAAAGACCACATATAACAACCTGCTTGATGCAGTGGCACGATTTTTCCATGGTGAAAGTCTTGCCTATATATCTGGTCTACTGGAGAAGGGCATTGCGAAATATGATAGCTTTGTCAAGGATTTACACATTAAGTTTATCAAGTACATTGAAAACCTGTGGCACAAGACCTGGTCTTTGGCAGAAAATCAGTGGAAGGCAGTCCTGAAGCGATTTGAGCCTCATCTCTTCAAAATGATTAGCTTCATAGAGACAACAGCCTGGAATCTCAGCAAGGAAGTATTTGATTTCATATACAAGCGAACCAATGAACTGGCGGAATCTCCGTACTTCAACAAGGTCTCTAGTTTTACGGCTGATGCGGAGCGTCTTTACCGGGACTTCAAGGCCAACGATGCGATTACCAACATTAAGAAGTATTCTACACTCGCCTGGAATTTCATTAAGGAAAAGTACTTTAAACTGGTACCCTTCGGTGCAGAATTGAATGAAGTTCTTACCGAAATATTGGAGGAAATTAAGCAGCTTGAGAAAAATCGATCAAGTTCAGATAATGGTTCAGAAATACTATGAAATTGTGGCGAAGGTTGATTGGGTGGCAGACGAACTGCAGCTAGAGCATCGCCTACATCAGGTTTACGGACTACTGAGGAACAAGTTCCGCAACTATGCCATGAATGCCTTGGAAACAGCCGACATGTACAGGGAGGCCAAGACCAAGTTTGTTTTTGATCCGGAGGTGGGTATTATCGACCTTGAACAGAAGTTACCCATGTCCTGGCACGCATTCAACGAGACGCCCAAGTTCGAGGAGATTCCCGAGTACCAGGTGCTGGCCAAGGCCCAGAGTTTCTTTAGTGAAACCAACTCTTCGATCGTCATGAAGCTTTACAATATGCGTACTCATCTGGATCCGAAGACCTGGCTACCTCCGTACTACTGTAAGTTAATATAAGGTTAAACATCAACATATTTAAATTATGGTTTTATTTTATTTTATAGCTCGCGCCTTGCTCATCGACTCCCGGCATTACATGACCTTTGATCAGCGCTACGTGGGCTTGAACCTCAACTTTGACGAGTTCGGAAATGGAAGACCTAATTCCCAGTGCAGCTATCTGCTGGCCCACGATTTCTTCAAACGAAACTTTACTTTACTTTTGGAGCCAGCGGTGGGTATTTAACATAATTAATTTATTTTAATACCTTCCTAAATCCATTTACTTATAGAGCAAATCCCTGGCTGGCCAAGGACTAACCCGAAAGCTGAGCTTCATTGCCAATAATCAGCTAATTGAAATCGACTTAGGAACAGATGTAAGTTAACTTAACTATTATTTGTTGTATAGTTTTCCATATCTAATTGTTATTTATAGCATATAACCATCAATGGCAATCCGCAACCCATTCTGCCTCTCAAACTGGGAGCTGTGAATATCCACCGTGACTTGGATGTACTCTCCATCACCTCTGACACCGAGTTCAGCTTGCACTGCAATGTGCAGTTTGATCTTTGTTGGTTCGAGGTGAGTGGATGGTACTTTGCCAGAACAGCAGGATTGCTGGGAACCCTGAACAACGAACCATCCGACGAGTACACCATGTCTAACAGCGTAATCTCTAATGAGACACAGCAATTTACGGATTCATGGAGCCTGAAGCAGTGCAAGCAAACTAAGTTGGCCCAGACTAAACCGATAAGCAAGGAAGTCAGTGATACTTGCACCAGCTTCTTCCGAACTGGCATTCTGGCTCCCTGCAGTGCCGTGCTTGATCCCAATCCCTTCTATGAAATGTGTCTGGATTTGGGCATGAAATCGCCACCAATTCGAAAGGGACATCCGGCTGTCAAGGGAGCTTGTGCAGCAGCATTGGCTTACATCGAAGCCTGTACAGCTTTAAAGGTTCCCATGCGGGTGCCGTCTCAGTGTGTCTTGTAAGTCATTAAAAAACTTAAAGATAAGTTCCACTATTTCATTTACAACTATTATAGCTGCGAAATATCGAATGGTTCCTATGTACCAGAGGGCACCTTTTTGGAGCTTTCAGGCCCTGAGATTCCACGAAGCAGCGATGTGGTCTTTATAGTAGAAGCCAAGGATTGCAATGCCAATCTCATCACCTCCAAAAGCATCATGACAGTGGTCAGCAGCATTGAAGAACAGCTGCAAGCTGCTAAGCTGACCAATAATCGGTGAGTAACCTTTAAGAATCCTTTTATAAGTTAAACCCAATCCAAATTTTTACATTCATAGTTATGCTGTTGTGGCCTTTGGAGGAGTTTCGCCATACGACAAACCTAGGAGTGTTATTTACGAACACAATGAATTCACCTCCAAGCCGGATCAGCTAGCGAACTATTTTGGCCACATCAGTACCGGAAATGGTAGCAGCAACGATATCCTAATGGCCATTTCCGCTGCTGCCAAACTGAACTTCCGTCCGGGAGTTTCAAAGACCTTTATTCTCCTATCCTGCAGCAAGTGTGCAGCCAAGGATATGCGTTTCGACTACACCTCTATCCTGCAATACATGTTGGAGGAGGGCATCAATCTTCACGTCCTGGCAGATACAGAATTCGATTTTGAGCGAAACAAAAAGCTGCGTCACTTCTTCGGTTTGGACAGTAAGCTGGTTTACTCGAAGCGTTTCCCAGAGGGAGATGCAGATACCCGCAATACCACCCACATCCCGAAGAGCAATTTGGGAATCTGCACAACGCTTGCAGTGGAGACACAGGGATCTGTGTTCAGTGCCCGCAAGCTGCAGCCGGAGCGAAAGTATCCCATCAAGCGATTTGCCACCATTTTCGCTAAACGAGTCGCCTCCAGCGCCACGCCCATCCATAGTCAGACCTGCGAGTGCTCCGCCCACAATACGGGAGTCTCGTACATGGCCTGCTCACCTCAGGCTCTGCCAGAGGAGAAGTACGATCTGGATGACTATGTAAGATTGGATTATTAAGCAATTCCTGAATATTTCAATTGATTTCTTTAATTTTTCAGGACTCCTTCAACAACTGGGACTGGGGAGATGAACCGGAGGGTGACGCCAATGTAATGTCATAGTTCTTAGTGCTCCGCAATTAGTTAGCTAGTTCAGTTATGTCCCTGCAGAATGTAAGGTTTTTCTAATGCATAACCGACAGGCATATTTTGTAAAAATAAATCAACATATAAAGCCAAAGTGAAGTTGCATTTAGTGTCATAATTTCCAATCGAGATCTGCCCCAAAGTTAACGAACGCCACGCCCGACCAGTTTTCAGCTTCCTATTCATTGTTTGCGCCAATCTCGGTAGCTGATTAAAAGTTGTCCGACCGCCTGCGGCAGCAACAGCGGTAAGCGTTGCATGTTGCATGTTTCAAGTGGTCCATTTGGGTGACTATCACTTTTGCAGCTGCAACGGCCACGGCCACGGTTGACGGAAACGGCGGCAGAACTCAAGTACGTGTAACAACCTTAACCCTAAAGCGAGCCGAGATGGAATGGACCATGTCCGCTCACTCGAACCACTTGATACCCAGTTGAACCCAATTTGTTGATATAACATTTCCCTGGAAAAGCGCACAATGGAAATTATGCGAACCGAGTGGTAATGCAATACTTTCTATTTCAATACTATGGTTACATCAACTGGCCGTCCTAGGCCCAATTGCGAATCTTTCACTTTTGGGCCGGCTATAAAAACGAGCGGACAGATGGCAACCATTCGCATTGCTACAGAGAGATTTGGCGAGGTAGCCAGTAACGGACATTAACAAAATGTGGAGATTTGTAAGTTCAGGCAGAGAATGAAGGAATCTCTTATCCCAAATTGATTTCTGGAATCCTTTCTAGATACTAATTTGCAGTATTCAGCTGATTTGCGCTTCGGAGCACAGTGGTGAAGGATATGGAGAAGGTTATGGATATGGTGGAAGCGGAGGAGGTGGCGGTGGTTCAGGAGGTAGCGGCGGAGGAGGTGATGGTCACTTCCATCACCACACACCCACCACATATTCGGAGATCTCAAAGCATGTACCGGTGCATGTGATCGAGAAGGTTCCACTGCCCATTCCCCATCCAGTGGCCGTCCAGGTGCCCAATGTAATCAGGTTGCAAATTCCGGAACCATATGCCGTTCACGTTCCAGTTCAGCAGGAGATCCAAGTGCCGATCTACAAAATAGTGCCCGAAGTAACCGAACGAAAGATCCCCTACACCGTGGAAAAGCCATATCCCGTGGAGGTCGAGAAACCATATCCGGTCGAGGTGATTAAGCAGATAAAGATTCCGGTGCCTAAGCCCTATCCTGTTCCTATTAACCATCTATAAGCATGTCCTGCAGAAGGAGCACGGCTGGTAATGACGGTAGCCTTAGGTTTGTTAGTTTTTTGATGCCAGCTCTAGATCCGAGAGTATTATCTTACGAGGTTATTGAGTGATTAAATATAATATTTAAGATAAAATGGACCTTTTTAGGGAGAGTTTAATTTAATAACATTTTCTACACACTAAATGAACTAAAATATTGTGTCGAAAAAGGTTGTCTTCCTTCACTGAGTTCCTTCCTAAGCTTAAAATGTTCTAAATGGGAAAAGTAGATAAATGCAAGTTAAATGTAAACATCAAACTTCTGAAAAGCGGTAGGAAAACTGGAAAAGCTTATGAGAACTTTTCCTCGTCAATGCTAGATTCCAGAACAGTCCAACGCAAAGCTTTTTTTGAGCTGTATAATGGCGGCAAAGTGCGTATACACACTCTCAAGCCACACACACACACACATTATCACAACTGACATACATAGCCCACAGGTTCGTTAAACTTTTCCGAATTGATTGACACTGTGTGGGAAAGTGTAGGGCAGGTTTTCCTCAAACCGATGACGTGCGCACACTCCACAATCCCACACCCATTTAAGAACCTTCTCATCCGGTCAGGTGTTGCTTGGTCTTATATCCTGTATGTCCTTGGAGGAGGTAAACATTGATTCCGATGAGCGGGAACTTTTCCGCGATTGTCAATGATTTCCATTTGTTGCACGCTCCCAGTAAAGCCATTTCTATTCCAGTAATTCTTGCCATTTCGTTTAGCAGTCAGTGAGTCAGTCAGCCATTCAGTCAGTCAATCAAGCGCAGCTGCCGCAAATTATTTATGCACAACTTGTAGCTCCACACGCATTGGCCTGGTGAGCAAAATGTATCCAAAGGATGTGCCTGCGACTCCCATATATGTATATATATATAGTATGCCACAATGTGTTTGCCTACGTGTCGGGAACTTTAATTTCATTTACATTCACATTCACACAGAGACTCACACATGCTAGAATAGTTTATCCATTTGTTCTTCTTCAAATCTTAACTTTACTTCCATTTTTAGACAACTTGCCAAGTTTTGTTTTAGCGGAAGCAAAGTAAATGAAAAGTAATAGAAATTGCTCGAGTGCCTGCATACATTATTCAACGTAAAATCAGCAGAAAAAACTTTTTTCGTAATTAAATTCAGCCACACCCAACGAACCTTTGTACGTTTTCATTTTCATTTTCATTTTCCGATGGGTCAGGTTCGGGTTCAGGTGTGGGGGCGGGCATTTAATTAATTATGAAAATATTTTAAATGATTCGCCTGAATGGATAAACTTTGTTTTCAACCACCAGCAAATGGTCCAAATTCAATTGTTGATTTATGCTCTTTGTGTTCAGTGTGCAGATTGCCATTCGCTTCATTCATCAATTCATTTGGAAAATTTGGTAATTGCACAAACTGATGAAACGATAATTGACAGATTCACTGTGTTTGCTGTCGTGGTTACCAATGTCCATTTGGCCAGGACACCAAATGTGCATATCCTAGTTGACAAGCCTCGGGTTTTAGGTAATTACCCTATTGCCTATCCTTTGACGGTCCCAATCGATGCCCCAAAAGAATCGCATTTGGTGAAGATTTTTACTCTTTGGGGGATAATTAAAATTGCAGAAGAGTTTGTTGCGGATTTATTGGGTTGCGGGAGTTATTTATATGTTGTTATTGATTTAAATGTTGGATTTCTGAGTGAGTAAACATTAATAAGGTAGTATTCTGTAATATAAACTTACCCTTACGAAAAAATAAAAACTCCCACTAACATTGATTAAAAACTATTAAGGCCTAAATGATTTTTGCTTAAATATTTACTATGCCACCATCTTTGAAAGCCTATTACTTTACTTAGATACGGCTACGTTTGATCTAACAAAGAAGGGGGCCGCTCTGTCCCAACGATTACCAGTTCCTTAGGCCACATGTGGCAATTGAATCTATGTGGCCTAAGCTCCAGCATAATATGCGAAAGCCAAGCCTCAATTCCGGCTCCCCCTGTCTATCCAATCGATTGGCGCATAAAATGCAAATTAAATTGTCGGAACATTTGGTATTACAGCAGCCAAAGCTCTCAGCCAATGAGCTTAGCCAAAGTCTGGCAAACAAATTTACAATGGTAAGCTCATGTGAGGGCTGGCGAACTGAGGTGGTGATCCTGGGGAGGAATACATACAGATGGGGGCCGGGAATTCGGTGCCAGATGCGAAAGGGAAAACTTTTGAATTCGTGGAATTAATTTAAGTTAATTGATTTTTTTGCCAGAAGCTTTGCACGTGCAAGACTTTTTCCGCACTCAGAGATAGATAGTCAGGCAAGCAGGCAGGCAATCGAAGAGGAAAAGGAAACTCTGTCAAGGAGACGAAGGACGAAGACGGAAATTGACAACTGCCTCGAGTGTTGAGATGTAAGGGAAATACATTTCCATGGCCCCATTCACATTATCGCCCAGTTTTCCATTGAGACATCATACTCGAATGTGTGTGTCGCCTTGTTTGACAGGTAGACGTGGCCCTTGATGGACTTTTAGGGGGCTGCCCCATTTTCCATTCCATCTTCCATCCAGCTTTCACATCTGTGATAAAAATAGCCTGCGCTCGTTGGCTAAAACCAGCGGCTAGGACATTACTAACGCTGAATTAATCAATTGCCCAGCGATTCGAGTTGCCTTCATATTTGTTATTTTTAAGCATTTCAAAGGCTGCACTCGCAGAAAAACAGAGCCGGCTGCTTTCCTTGTAACCGACCGCTCTTCCTGTCTAATGAGCTGTGAAGTGGTGTGAATGCATGAAGTCCTTTGAAGGAGCGCTCCTACATGACAATGTGAAAAATCCCTCTGGCAGAATTGTTGATTGGCAGTTAAACATGTGTGACGTTGAATCTATATATGTTCATAAACTCGTAAGTCCGACTAGAACTATTTGTCCATGTTCTCAATTCCCATTTTGTCTTTGTGAGTAATGTGCTAACGTTATTATTAGTCTTTGCCAAAGCGAATCCTTAAAGCCCATTTAACTGTTTCCTATATAGCCAAACAAAATAAACACTTTCTTTCGTATCCCATTTCGTTAAGCCCTATAAATAGCCTTTACTACAGGCACATCACCCGCAGTGTCAGGAATAACCATTAAAAATTGTATAAAAATATGAATCAATGGCGAATCACAAAGCCAAAGCCAATTTCTCATTCCTTTTTTGTGGATAAATCCCCTGCAGAAAGTAAAATTGAATGGTGAAGTGGGGCCACGCTAAAGTCATAAAAGTCGCGTGGACCAAATTAGGAGGAATTCTCTACTGTTTGTGAAGGAGAGCAAAAGGAAGGAATGCTCTTGGTTCCTGCCCCTCCAACCATCTGCCTTTCCTCGTACTTTATGTGCACAACAATTTTAAATGACTTTGAGGAGGCGACCCGGGACACACTCGCATACACATACAGAAAGATACACACAAACACACACAGGAGCAGCAGCCGAAAGTAACAGATAAGATTAGACGCCCAAGCCAGTGACAACAGGCGTCGTCAAGATGGCGCTCCACGCCCACATTGCGTATGCGCGTTCATCCACACTGAGAGAAGATTAATCTTTCTAGTATTTGTAAAAACTATAATAAGGTAAGGTATAATAAGGAATAACATATAAAATTATACCTATTCTAATGAAGAAGACGTTAACCATACGAAATGTTTACTATGGTTCGCCTTGTCCTGGTAATCACATACATTTCTTTCAGTGTCAACCGTAAGCGAGTCAAGGTTAAGCTCCAAAATCGCTCGAAACGAAACGAACCTCAGCCATCAAAGGCAGCAATGTTTTTTCCTTATTTTCTTCTTTGCACCAGTTCCTTTTGCCTGATTTTCCTTTGCTGCTTCGAATATTTTCTTTTTTGTAGCCGTTTTTGTTTTGTTTCGGATGCTGCGCGTGGCAAGGAAAACAGCTGGCTGGCTCGTAATGATTACGAGACTTTTATGGCACAACGAACGCTCCACACAAAGCCTGAAAAAGGGTCCCAAAAGATGGCAAAAGAAGCAACCTTCTGTACCTGAAACCTGAAATCCGTCCATATAGCTCTCTCCCTCTTTTACTTCCACCACCCCTATCATTCGCACATCGTTGGCCAAAGTTCGGAAGCGTTTATTGGTGTACCACCTCCCCCCATTCTGCCATTCCATTCAGATGGAATAAAGTTAAGCGATTATGAGCACCGCCTAGAAGTAGGCAATATTTTTTTCTTTCTTCCGGTTGAGCCAGAATAAGGGTGAGGACGTCTTAAAATAAATATACACCATAAAAAGTAATGTACAAAAAGTAAAATAAAACGTTTAAGATTCAGTCTGAAATACTAAATTCAAGTAATATCAAATCGAATCGCTAGCGGCTCAGGTGAAAGAAAATTTAATGGGGTGAAGGTTTGTGGGTCCTTCGTACTCATTGTTTCGTGCAAGATTTATGGCTAGAACTCGTGCTTCGTGGTGTCGCAAAAGGTGTGTTTTCGTATACCATTCTATTTTGTCTCCCGTAAATCTGGCGCCACCTTGCTGTCCTGTCTATTACCGAAATTGTGTCTTCTATATATCTCCCTCCATCTCATTTGCCGCGTGTCGACGTTTTGGGTTGCGTGCAAAAATAGCCCAAAATAAAAATATATATAATATATATGAATGAGAAAATATTTGTGCAGAGGCGCATAAATCACAAGAACGCAAACACAGCCATATATTATACACCTCATATTGTTTGTGTGCGGGGAGTGTTTATAGTATATACTGTACTTGATGGCTTTGCATTTGCCAAACTATTTAAATATTATTCCAAAATGAAGGGCAAAGCAGAAGCCCGGCTTCATATCCGTTTCTCCATTTGCAAGATACCCACCCACCCAACAAACCGCATCCCAAGGTCCTTTAGTTCGAAGTGCGTTGTTATCATTCGGATATTTGCATAGGGCTTACGAACATTATCTCGTGCCACATATATATACAGACTTCTGCCATGTTTGGTGTGATGA